ACAGGCTAAAAACCAGACATTATAATAATCAGGTTGGACATTTTTAATGTACAAGAAGAATGCTAAGAATATCATTACCAAATGAATCTATCTAAGGGAAACCTTAAAAGGATGAGATTTCTTGTGATAGATTACTCAGGCAAACTGGGGAGTATTTGCACATCTGATCTAAGACTACCAAGACATAAAATCATAGAGTAACTTGAGCTGGAAGGGATTCACAAGGATCAGCAAGGCCCTGCACAGGAATCACTCCAAGAATCACAGCATTTGTCTTAGAACATTTTCCAAACATTTCTTGAAATCTGTCAGGCTTGGTGCTGTGAACACTTGCCTGGGGAGCCCGATCCAGTGCCTGATCTCCCTCTGAGAAAAAAACACCTTTGATCTAATATCCAGCCTAAACCTCCCCAACACAGCTTCATGCCATTCCTTAGAGTCCTGCCACTGGTTACCACAGAAGAGAGAACAATGTCTGCCCTCCTTCTTTCCCTCCTGAGGCAGACTGCAATGAGGTCTCCACTCTGTCTCCTCCATGCTGAACAAACCAAGTGACCTCAGCCACATCTCATACAGCTTCACCTGTACATCCTTCATCTTCATGATACCCCTCTGGATGCTCTCCAGTAGCTTTTTTATGCCTCTTACATTGTGGTACTGTACACAGGACTCAAAGTGAGGCTGCACCAGCACAGAGCAGGACAATCCCCTCCCTTGCCTAGCTTGCAATGCTGTGCTTGATGCACTCCAGGATATGGTTATCGGCAAATAACCTACAAATTTTAGATAAAAGGAGAGCTGTTTTGAAATTAAGATATACAAACATACAAAACAAAATATTTTAATTATAAAGCTTGCAAATGTATCAGGGACTAACTTGAATTCCTTGAGTCAATAATGAAAAGCTTAAAAAATCGATTGCCTAGTATAAAAAGACTTAGAGCTTGAAACAGGATAGGTCACAAAATTTATATTCACTGTTCAGACTAGATGATTGCAATTCTTCCCCCAACTCTCATTAAAATCACATTTACAACGCTATTCAAAATGCAAGTCAGATTCAGTTTTGTTTGTTTGAAAAGCTGGTATGAATAGCAGAATATTTGATAATGTGGAGAAGATAAGAATTAATTTCAACTGGTACATTCAGTATCAGAATAAGTAGCATTTCTCTTTCTACAAGAGAAAATAATACTGCCAACTTCTTCCCTAGCATTTGCAGGTTTGTTGTATTCTACACTACACAAAGCAGTTGAAAACAGAAGTGAATGAAAACACTCTTCTTGTGGGTTTTGAAATATTTCTTATATTGGTAGAGAATTTCCAGCCCCTAAATATCAATTCCATTGCTTTCTCTCAACACTACCCAAAACTCAGTGTTAGCTTTCACTTTGGGTGACCAGAACTCTTAGTTTCACTAAATCAGTCCTGAAACCAAATAAACTAAGGTGATAAGCCTCTTTCAGATTGTTATTTAGAATTAGAGGGGGAAAAGAAGAAGTTGTTTTGTTTGATTGTTTCTTTGTTTAAACTTAAAGACATGGGTGATGCTGGGCAGAGAACAGAAAATTAGCTAATGTAGCTTGGCACCCACTGTGCCAAGGCTTTCACACAAGAGTGGAACAGAAACAAGACATCAAACACCACTCAGAAAGGAAAAAAAAAATTCTTTGAGCACAGCTATGAGAGACAGAAAAAAGCACAGGAGATATTAGAAGGATGCAATAAAAACATATTAAAGATGCAGGAAAGGACAAGTCAGCCGTAGAATAGAAGTTAAATGTTTCACTACACAATTTTTTTACAGTACATGTATTTTGCTGCCTTAAAAAGGAAAGAAGAATCAATCATAACATCTTGCTGAAGTGTTATAAATATCACAGGAAAAGCAAAAGAGTATTATTAAACACATTTGAAAACTTGAATTTCTGAGAGCTCAGTCCTGTAAGCATTTGTTTAGTTCCACCCATCCCCCTGCAGAAGGTGTTATTTGCAGATCCTAAGCCCAAATTCCCAAGAAACTCAGAAAAAGAAAATTTATTTGGATTAAAAAGAACAAGTTTTTTCTGCTGTCTTTGCATACTTCCCAGAAAATCAAACACTTGTAAGTGGTTCTTCAAGTTTCTTTGGTTTGACTTTGGAATATAATATTTTTGAAGTTATTTCAGAAGAATATAGAAATGTAGAATGTACTACAGCTGCTGTTTCAATTTAAGTAAGTTTTTACTCAAATTACAGGATTTACCACTCAGTTTTGTTGCATTTGAAGGCTAATTTTGTGGATTTTCTCTACTAAGGGCAATAAAACCATTTCTATTTGGTTCTATAAAACATATCATAGACAGTATTTTCAGGAAATACATCTTCAGCAGAAGATAACCATTTTCCCTGTGCAAATGGCATACAATAAATAGAGACAGAGGGTCAAAACTCAAAGTTTACAGTACTAGCATCTCCCATAAATTTGCATAAAATGACAGCTAAAGGCCTCAAAGCAGTTAGAAGGTCCACAAAGCCAAACCCTTTAAAATGTTCAAAAGACGGCCAAACTAGACCTGCCTGCTATACCACACCTGATTTATCTGCTATAAATGTTACTGAAGAGAACCCTTTTCTCAAGACAGACATTACATAGTTTTCCAATAGTTTGTCTGAAAGCAACTCTATTAGTGCCGTAGTTTAGCCCCAGCCTCTAGCACAGATGACACACAAATTCATCACGAAAATTAAGTCTACCCCAGCCAAAAGCAGCACAATGTCATGTGACACAATGTGAACCACTTTGCATTTCATACACACTTCTGAAGAGAGGAGACACTTCCAACAGTGAGGTGCAGTTTGAGACTGGCCATACTTAACACACAGCAGCCAAGAGATGTGCTTGTTTCTAACAGTAGGTCAGAAAGCACTGTCAGACTTCTGTGACTACTGCAAGTTCAAGAAATACACTTGCTTCAAGGTATGGCCATCAAAAGAATTGAGCCCAGCTTTGTCACCTTAATTAAGACACTACTTAGTAGGCAATTATAGCACAAGAACATTTTTTCTCTTTATCTTTAGATGGTAAGTGATACAGTCAATTAACTAATGGGCTACTTGTTTTATGTGTCTAACATGAGGAAGGTTAGAAGGCCATGACTCCAGTCAGTTCAGTCAGGACACTACTAAAACACACAAGATTTCACTAAATGCCACAGGAACCTGGCTGAATTAGAACATGGAAACAATGCAGGCACCACAAGCTTCCCAAATGGGATGCTTAGGTGCAAGTCAGAAAAAGATTTGTGCTGGGGAAAAGAGGGCAGAGACAGTCTGGTGTGGCACTGACTTGTTCCTAACACGTCACTTCTGACAACACATCGCTTCTGGGGACACACATGGAAATGTCAGGGACTGTGAGGACAGCAGCAGGTGAGAGAGAAGTTGCCAAAATACCAATTTACAAAAGCACAAAGGGATGACAAACCTGACAGCTTCCTTTTGTGTCTAGTCATTATCCTCTGCAGTTTTGCTAACAGAGGAAGTTGCTTGATGAACACATTAATTATAGTAACAATGTAATCTACCACAGCTTCACTGCTATACAGCTGTACATTTGAACTCAAACTTCTTGGAAGCACTCATTATATCATTTCAGCTAATTTGTCAATGCAGAAAGTAAAGAATGTATGTAAAACATATAGCTTGTTATAAAAATATGTTTCTTTTTACTTAATCCTATGCAAACAATCCTAATATATTGTTTACAAATTAAGAGAGAAACAGGTTTTTTTTTCTCAAAACAATGCAACAATTAAATTAGGCAATTAACAATCAAAATTAAATTAGAAACATCTCTAAAAAAAGGTTAATTCCTCTGCTGTGAATTTCTTTTTTTAAACTCTTACTATGCCAATATTTATATAGTATTAATTCTTTGAAAAAGACAGTTGCACATTTGACATAAAAATGTGCTAGTTGCCATGATGTTTCTCTTCTCCCTGCACTGAGAACTTCTGTCAAGCTGTGAAGTTCAGCTCTGTTCTCTGACAACTTTTCCTATCAAAATAAGTTAAGAAGCGGGACGATATCTTAACATGGATCTTTGTATAATAGAATTGTATCCGCAGGAAAATACAAACATAGTCATGGAAACAACTAGTTTTGTCTCATCTTTCCCCCATAAACCAGTTGCATAACATCCAATTAAAAGAGTGGGAAGATACCAGCTAGGGAGACAAATCAAATCAGCTCCCTCTTCAAAGTTCAGCTTCAGAATGACTCTAGAGGACAAGAGCCTGGAGCCTACAATGGCAATGGTGTCCCTTTTCCTGTTACAGATAGGAAGTTCTACTCCTGGTATAATGGAGCCAAAAATTAACATGAAAAGCAACTCAGGTTTGCTGTATCACGATTTTAACTCAGTGGTTATTTTCCAGAATAACCTTCATCCCATTTCTCTGTGTTATATTAATGCTTTAGGGAATAATACCACCATGTGCCCCCAAATTCTACCTGTTCATCATGCATGTTCTTTTTTTACACAGTTCTACACAGCATAAATCAGCTGATGTATCAGCACTCAGCAGCTATTGCATTGTTTTAACTTTTTATGTAACAAAACAGAAGAAAGACTCAGAGACTCAGCAATCACAGCCGAAAATGATATAAAAGTTGTCACTCAGCTCCCCAGACCAAAGATCTGCAGCTATTAACCAAATGAGAACATGAGAAACTATGTGAATCCTTTTTAGCCCAATTCACTACACAGAAATTTAATAAAAATCGTTCTGTAATGAAAAGAGGCCTTTTATATTCTTAATGTGTAACTAATCAGATGAGAAGTCACTTTAAATGACAGAGCACATGATTTAACAACAGTGGTAAATTTTCCAGTTCCTATAAAATGAAATTATTGGTTTGTGTCGACTGTTTATGCTTTACCTTTCTGGAAAATATATTTAGAGATACACAAAGATAAAATCTTAAAAATTAAATAGTCCAGGAAACTGTTTACATACTTAGGATGTCGGATGTCTGGCAGGGACCGTTCCAGTGCTATGTTGTTGCTAACAAATATGTTGAAGCCATTTTCCCTATAAGCAGAATCATCATGGTCTTCCTCTGTAAGAGGGTAGGGTTTCCCATGTTCACCTTTCCCTATAACAAAACAAAACAATTATTTACCTCAAGCTGACAGCAAAAAATGTACTACAAAGACAAAAAGAAGTTACACTGAACTTCAGTTAGTACACTGTGCCTGGAAGACCTCAAAGAAATCTCTTGCAATATCTTTAGCAATACTTCTGTTACTTTCAATACAAAACCAGAAAGCAAGTACAAACAAGATGCAAAAGCCCTTCTGATGTCACCCAATTCATCTAACTTTCCTCTATTCAGACACACAATCAGGTTAAAGCCATTTTATAGAGAAAAAATTCAATAGTAAAGTAAGCTAAGACCTTTCTTTTCCATAACAAAATTATGCACAAATGGATCAATTCCAGCAATATGCCCTTCAGTTACTATGAGGAACCTGGTTACTGAGTTACTTTACATTACAGCACACCTAACACCAATTCATGTTTTCAGAACGTAACTTCAGCACTGAAGTTTAGGGTGTCCAGCCTTCCAGAAGAAACCATAAGGAAACCAGATGTTTTGCTCCAGGCTCCTTGAACACCCTTGCACTCCTAGGGACAAGACAGATGTACTCAGTGTTTCTAACACCACAGCACTGTGGAGTTGGTTTCAGAAACTGGTCACTTTGGGCTCCCTCAAAGAAATCATCTGCTTGTTCCCTAGTAAAGCACAGACTTTTTATTCCAGCTTTTTATTCCCATGTTAGTTCTCATCATCAGTCACTTGGCTTGCTTAGTACCTACCTCAGGCTACTATACCTCTAACTCTTGCAGCAAGAGAGCAGAGAACATAAAAAAAACCAAAAAAACCCAAAAACAGTTCAAAGAAAATCAGAAAATAAAACCCTTCAATTCTTCTCAACTACTTTTACTCTTCCCATTCTTGCAGAGGATGTACTCTTCTGAGTTTCAAAACCCTTCAAGCCTACACAGGTTCTCAAGAACATATGCTTTCCTTTACATCTCACCATTGATCGGTTTATAACCCCTCTGTCCTTCTACCACCAGGCTCTCTCTTAAGAAAATACCACCTTTTACCTGGGCTCTTATACAGAAATTAATCAGCTGGATTCAATAAGTGATCAAGGGCATGTGATCCTCAGCTAAACAGGAGCAGCTACAGGAGTGGATGAAGAGGAAAGCAACCAGAGGCTGAGGAAACATCCAGTGGTATTCTTAAAGCCCATAAGGCTCTGTTAGTGCCCCTATTTCACACTGCACTAGCACAAGACATTAAAAACACAAAATATGCAATTAAAGGTGCTGTAGTAACTCAATTTTAGACTTTCTTCAGCTAAAATTTAATTTTTTTTATTCTAAAATTTGTGCATATATTTACAACTTCATTTAAATTCTTAATGAAAACAATTACTGTTACTTACAAGGGGGGGGGGGGGGGGGAGAATTAATTCTTATCATGAAACCCTTTCTCTTTATGCTATTTCATTACTAACAGGTATTTTGTCATTTTTATCCCCAAATGCATGCAACACACTAACATGACCCAAAATCTGAGACTGAGCTTCTATGTGACTCTTTATGATTTCATACTAATAATGGGGAGGAACTATGATTCTATAAAAGCAGCTAATGAGTCAAAGTACTACTCCAAATTCAATGGTACAATTGTATCAAATATGATTCACAATAAAGTAACACTAAGCTAATGTCATTCAACCTAAGACATAGAAATTTTAGCCCCTCTCTTTCAGCATATATTCTACATAAACCAAAAGTGAATATTTTAACTGGCAATTATTAAGAGTTTTATCCAGGTAGTTATTAATATTTTGAACATTCTGAAATATACTACTTGTATGATTAAAACATACTATTGCAAATAATTTTTTTACTATAAAATTTCCTGTATATTCTAGCTAGTCATCCTGTATGAAGAGAGGTTGATTCTTGCTTTGCTTTTCTTAAATGAGTGCATTTGGCTCCTCAGCAGATGAGTATTTGTCCTAAAAGTTTTCTTCATAAAGTCCCTTGCCAGTGAAACTGAAGACAAGCATTTTTAAAACAGTTTTCCATTCTTCCCCATCAGATAAGAAGCAATATCACTGTGTATAAGCCAAAAGTATAGATATCATGGTTGCTATCTAGAGCAACTCAGGAATGGGCAGAACGTTCCCCTACCATGCTGTGTAAGTATTTGCCCAAATTGCTTTTACACTTATGCAGTATAGTTCAGCCATGAAGTGCACTAGAAGGTGCAAAGCACGACTCTTTCCTAACACTTGAGCAAAATACTCATGTATGGCAAAAACAGAGGCTTATGCACTTTTTAAATGTCATGACTATTTCTCCCAGCTTTTTGTTTGCCTGCTCTATCACCCTGCAGTTCCTCCTGATTAACTAGGGATCATTAGCTAGGGGAGCCATCTATCAGATCCAGCTGGAAGCAGTTTGCTCATTTCTCTAAAACAGCTTTGGTAAAAAGAGACTATTCCTTAGGAAGAACTTTGGAAGGAGAGAAATAGAGAGCTCAAAAGATAAGCATTAAAAAAATCTGTACAACTTTTGGTGACCATTAGGCTTGAAGGATTCCCTTTGTAGAGAAAAGTGCCATGTGTGAGCTACTAAGCATTAAAAAAAACCATCATAAGCACAGAAAACTCTCCTGTCACTGATTCACCTTCCTAGATGTCTGACAGTAATTTCCATCACTGCACAGTGGTTTGGAGGTGGACCTATATGCCAGGATAAAAAGGGGAAATTTCACAATGCAAGAAGAGTAAAATCCTGGTGAAAAGGACCCTGATTAAGTATAATTTTAAGTATAACTACTGGCTACAGAAGACTGCTTTAAATCTATTGATAGACAGATGTAAGTCCTCTTATACTGTCTCTTCTGTCTGAAGGCAAAACAGCAATACAGAAAGTGCAACAAGGCTATAAAATATGGTAGGAACTGAATGTAAAAAACCCAATGGTGAATTTTTTGCCCCTTCACATCCAAAAGGGGACTCATCCAAATGTGACAGATAAAACCAACCCAGCACTAACACTTGATACTAACTCTCTGAGGCTGGTTTACAATTTCAAAGTAAAAATAACCTCATAAACTAAGGACAATCAGAAGTTTTAGTTCAGGATTTTGATTTGTCAAGGAAGGGAGAAACCCAATAGCACAAGAAGGACACATAGATTCAAATTGGGCCCAAAAATCCCATCAGAATGCTCCACTGCATGGGAAGCTCACAGCAATGTTTAATTCATGCAATTCTGTATTTGTTTAATTCTGTAATTTGTGATTACAGAATTATTAGTCTGATTTTTAATTTCAGTAATCAACATAAGCAAGCATGAAAATATGCTAGGTTTTCCTCTTATGGCACTATGATGGTTTTGGAGTTAACATCTCTACATTGCTTAGTACTGTGTTATTTTAAGGGTTCTAATAAACCAACTTAAAATGATTCTCCATAGGTATTCACATAAAAAAAAAAAGAAAGATAAAGTAAGATATTGAAGGCATCAAGATAAAGTACTGGCTTGGCCATGTATTAGAGACTCTACAAGGGTTTTTAGCCCTACTCAGGGATGTTACAGTCTCCTAGGAAACCCTACACTGTATACCCAGCCCTAAAAATGTTCAGTTCTATGCTTGACAACTTGTGATAACTCATAGTTCAAGGACACCTCAGTTAGGCATCTCCTGCTTATATATAATGCAGATACAGCAGGAGGAGAATAAGCCCTCTTGTTCAACAGATGGTTCAAAGGGAAGATGATTAAGGTGAAACAAGAAAATAAAAAAGCATTCTGTATACTCAGTACAAAAATCTAATTGCAGAATAACGGCTCTGGATCAGCCACATTGGTATAGTTGTCAGGTACTATAATTATAAGAGAACAGGGATGTTGTTGGCAAAATAGATCAACTGTAAATCAGTTTGAAAATGCAACAGGAGTGCTGCATATTCCATATGCAATAGATAGGGGACCTTGCTTAAAACTAGAAATAACAAATCAAGTGGCAACAGGTTCTCATTTCAGGGACTTTTGGGTTTTCTTTTGGGGTTTTGTTTTTATAATTCAGATGAACTTCATTTATAATTCAGCAGGCATGGTAAGAAAATGGCTTTGCCATATAAGTTTAATAAGTTAAGCAGCTGCTTGACATCTTAACACAGGAAACCAAGTGGATAAAGAACATAAGCCATTCAGTGTCTGTGGGGAAGAACTGTGTACAAATCTGAATTATTTACTGTTTATACTCACTGAATTATATACTGTTTATATGTTCCAGTGCTATTAGTTTACTCAGGCATGACTACCCAGCCATACCAAGTCACGACTATAATTCACACAAGTATTTAAGCACAGCCTTTAATTCAGCATCCTTTAACCCTAAAACAGTAATAGGGAATAAGAAGTCTCCATGTGCTAAATGCTTTATTATATGTAAGAATTTTATTTTAATATGTAAACCTATAAATAATTGAGTCTTCTTACTTGTAGGCCATTTTATTATTTTGGGTAAGTTAATTCTGCCATTCTTTCAAATATATATTAGGAATTATCTCCAAGTATTCCACCGAGAATCTATCACAGTTTGGCTGTGTTCATCACACAAATGCCAAGCTCATTCTCTCATGGAAGTTTTCACAGTGAGAACAGATGTTTAATCTTGTCCTAGAGCAATCTTTCAATACAGAAATGAAGTCCCCTGAGGAGAGAGTGACTGTGTTTCTTAGCAAAGGTAGACAGAGAAACACAAATTCCAAATGAATGCAGTCACACCTCAGTCTCAAAGAAAGAGTGTGAAGGTAAAATTGGAAATAAAGATCAGCAACAGAATAAAAACACTTAAGTCAGAGATCTTACATCATTTTGACCCATAAATTTTCATTAAAAAAACCCTTTTTGATCCCTGATATGGCAACTGACCAAGTCAGAGGGCAAAAACCCTGTTTAAAGAAATCTGTGGTATTTTACATAATTTCTGAAATTTTCCTAGTGCACAGCTATCTATAAGTCTCCCATCTTTCACTGCAGAGAGTGACTTTATAT